TGAAAGGTTCAATATAAGGTTTAATGTGAGGTCTAATAAGAGGTTGTAGTGAAGTTTAAAAGAGGTTTAATATGAGGTTTAATGTGAGGTTTAATGAGGTTTAATATGAGGTTAAAATAAGCTTTAATATGAGGTTTTAAGAAGGTTTAAACAAGGTTAGGTTATGAGGTTTTAAGGAGATNTAAATAAGCTTTAATATGAGGTTTTAAGAAGGTTTAAATAAGGTTTAAACAAGGTTAGGTTATGAGGTTTTAAGGAGATATAAAATAAAGTTTAAATTAAGTTTTTAAGGAAGTTTAAATAAGGTTTAAATGAGGTTTTAAGGAGGTTTAAATAAGGTTTTAAGGAGGTTCAAATAAGGTTTTAAAGAGGTTTAAATAAGGTTTAAATGAGGTTTTAAGGAGGATTAAATAAGGTTTAAATTAAGGTTTTAAGGAGGTATAAAATAAGGTTTAAATGGGGTTTTAAGGAGGTTTAAATAAGGTTCAAATGAGGTTTTAAGGAGGTTTGATATAAGGTTTAAATTATGTTTTAAGGAGGTTTAAATAAGGTTTTAAGGAGGTTTAAATAAGGTTTAAATGAGGTTTTAAGGAAGTATAAAATAAAGTCTAAATGAGGTTTTAAGGAGGTTTAAATAAGGTTCAAATGATGTTTTAAGGGGGTTTAAATAAGGTTTAAATGAGGTTTTAAGGAGGTTTGGTATAGGGTTTAAATTATGTTTTAAGGAGGTTTAAACAAGATTTTAAGGAGGTTTAAATAAGGTTTAAATGAGGTTTTAAGGAAGTATAAAATAAAGTCTAAAGGAGGTTTTAAGGGGGTTTAAATTAGGTTTTAAGGATGTTTAAATAAGGTTCAAATGAGGTTTTAAGGGGGTTTTAATAAGGTTTAAATGAGGTTTTAAGGAGGTTTAATATAAGGTTTAAATGAGGTGATCTCCTGGTTTGGACAGTGAAAAGCAGTTTCCTGTCTCCTGGACGTCTCATGGTCAGACACTCCCTCAGTCTTCACTTCTCTTTCTACAGTGAGAAATGGACTTGACATCTAAATCCTAACACAGCAGACTGCCTGCTTTTGATTCCAGGTCTTTCCAGGAAAAGCAGCCTGCAGCAGTCTGTGAAACGAGCGCACCCTCCCTCACTGAGATTATGTGTTGAGAACAAATATAATGTGAGGGATA